AGAATGTACACTAAGAAGGGATTTTTCGATATTCCCCCCGGGGGGAGAGGGACAGGATTAAGGCTTACTGTGAAGAATTTCACTTCTATTATACTATTTTAGATGCGATTTTTTGCGTTTTTGATTGCGTTTTAATAGAGTACGTCAACAGAATGTACACAAAGAATGGATTTTTCGATATTCCCCCGGGGGGAGAGGGACAGGATTTAAGGCTTACTATGAAGAACTTCACTTCTATTATACTATTTTAGATGCGGGTTTTTGCGTTTTTGATTGCGTTTTAATAGAGTACGTCAACAGAATGTACAATAAGAAGGGATTTTTCGATATTTCCCCCAGGGGGAGAGGGACAGGATTAAGGCTTACTGTGAAGAATTTCACTTCTATTATACTATTTTAGATGCGGTTTTTTTGCGTTTTTGATTGCATTTTAATAGAGTACGTCAACACAATGTATACTAAGAAGGGATTTTTCGATATTTTCCCCGCGGGGGAGAAGGACAAGATTAAGGCTTACTGTGAAAAACTTGGCTTCTATTATACTATTTTAGATGCGGGTTTTTGCGCTTTTGATTGCGTTTTAATATGGTACGTCAAGAGAATGTACACTAAGAAAAAATTTTTCGAAAAATTTTCCCCCACGGGGGAAGTGTTATACATTTATAATAGATACATTTTGAGCCACAACAAGGCGTGGCGGGGTCTGCTAGTTTTTACATAAAATCACTCTTTCATTATTTTATTGCTGTTGTTATTGTTTTGGATTTTTTCGTCCCTAGGCTCGGGCCTAATGGTAAATCCGCCACTGTCTCTTTTGTATTGAAGGAAAAGGAATAAATAATAGTTTCACGAATTACGCTCTCTACAGTATATGAAATGAAACTGTCCATTAATGTCTGTTTAATGAGATCGAATATTTCGATCTCATTAAACAGATCGAAGAATAAAATAATGCAGTTTCGAATTTTCGTATATCGAACACTCGTAAATCGAGTACTGGATATACGAGACTGAAATTCACACTGTAGCCTAATACATTATTGAGGTATTTTAACAATACGTGTGTTTGTGCGTGTTGTAAGTAAATTTTCATTTTGTGATTTAAAATCAAATATTTAAGCTCTTTACAAATTTTACAATAAATACACTAGATCTTATTTTTTAATCGAAGTATTTCTTATTTCGATAAAAAAATTTTGATTTAATAAATAGTTAAAATTATTCTATTTGAGTTAATAAACAATAGATACACAGTACTACAATATTATATTGTTTTACGTAGGAGTTACTGAGACGCGACTTCCACGTAAAATTTTGCGTAAATTTGTACTCCACCCCAAATAGCCTAGACACGGACTACATCAACATAATTGATAAAAAAAAAGTTATAGTAAACGTTAAACATTGTGTATGTAAAACGTTTTACTTATGTTTTTACTATAACGTTTTTATAAATCTGATACACACCACTTACATACACACAGGGCCGATGCTACCGTTTAGGCAGACTAGGCACCCGCCTAGAGCGCAAGCCATAAAGGGGAGCAAAATTATTCATACTTCAGTAAAATATTAAATTAAATAGTGATATATGATTTAGGTATCGATTCTTTTTCCTTATCTCTCACACATCACACTATTTTACTATTTAACTCTTGGTTCTTTTTTTATTCCTTACCTAAATGATTTGAACTTACACTATTTAAAATTCAGTTAAGATAAATTTTTTAAAACGTTAACATTATAAAATATTAAGATAACCTTTCTTACATACTACTCAAAACGTGCGCATTCTCAACCTAACATAACGGCGATGTCCACTATAGAATAGTGATGTTACTTAAGTATATTTTAAACCATAGTTAAATTAATACTGTATAGGCCTAATATAAAATACCGTTCCAATAGAGAAACCTATATCGCTGATTTTTGATAAGCGATATAGATTCCTATTGTGACAAGTCTGTATCAAGTATGGCCATCCCTGTTTTAAAACAAAATTTATTATGCAGTTTCCAATAGACTACATGAGAAAAACACATGCAAAATAGAGTATTCGCCACAGTGAGCAACATTCAATAATGTCAGAAGCTGGAATGCTGACTTATGAGTCAGATTCGAGAGCACTAGAAGTGGATCAACCAACCGTTTACATAATAAATAAGGTTAATTAATCAACATGAAACAGTAAGCATCGTTTTATAAGGCTAAACACAATCATGTTTGCATCTATTAAATAGTTTTAATTTTTCAAAAAAAAAACCAAAAAATATACTCAGTCTAATTAAGATTTTATTTATTTATTTATTACTTACCTTTGGGGCAAAAAAATATCGTTTCTACTTTCTCTTTATAAAAACCTTCCGGCTGAAATTTAAAGATTTATAAATCAGAATAATAACTTATAAAACTGAAATATCAAATATTAAGGTAACAGATAAAATAAGATTAAAAATTTTTATATATGAATAATTGCCATGTTAAAAAAAATATTATTTTTAACTTTATCTGAATTTTTAGCCAAATATCATATAACTGATGTAAATAAAAGTATTTAATATAATATTTTATCTTGAAGTGACGTATTCAAATATTACATAAGTAAAATTGCCATCATTTTTTATTCCTCCATATAAACAATTGTATGCGTTGTTTCGATTCTCCTTTAAATTATGTAATATTATGTTCATCTGTCCTCTTTCTGTTTATTACAATAAAGAAATAACTTTTATAAAACAGAATTTGTAATATCAGTTCGTATAATAAGCACTTATTAAAACTGTGTAAAAATAGTCACAATAGTAATGAAGTAAACAACGATGGGCATGTATATGTACCGTACAAAGAAACAAAATTTATCGATTATACGTGTGGCAAAAGGAAAGGTTTTTGTGTCCAACAATACGGCCTAAATTTTATCAAATTCGAGTGCATGTCTTGCATTAAATCATATTAACATGTTTAGATAATATATGAATAAATATCTGCTCTAATAATTGCTCCAACGGAGTGTTTCCCTCATTTCAGTAATAACAATAGGAGCATTTCAATACGTGCTGCCATAACGTCTCGTTTAAAGCTCATTGTTCTAGTACAGTATTTGCAAAATTATTTTTATTATTAAAGATATAATGTTCTTTTTTACTCCCCTGCTTAAAGACTGGGTGATAAAGACAATGTTTTACGAATTCTTAAGGTTTTTACTAAGTTTAATCATGTATACTCCAGCTATATCCATATCCTTCGTTCTGCTTTTATCTGACAGAAGTTTCATGTTTGTTTTATCTTTATATGGATCAATAATTGATGCCTCGTATTTACCAGTAACGATAAATCCTTCCAGGTGTATTATAAAAACGTGAGATTATCCCTCAAAGGCTTTGTTTGAAAAACTGTGGACAGCAGCTGTATATCTAATTTCATTAAATTCTTATTTCATTTGGGTCATGTCAAATGGGCGGTAGCTAATTTATGTGAATGCCAGTGATATATGCATCTATGCCTGTAAAAAACCTTGGTATCATATATCTACTAAACTTCAAATCACAATGTGTATCTACCTTGTAATTTTAAGAATTTTAAATCTAGGTAATTTACTATACACTTGCTAATTTGGTTGATTTTAAGCTTTATACTAGTAAAGTGGTTAATATTCGTCAGAATGTCTGTTGCTCATATAATAAGTTGTATACGTATCTTCGTATTAACTTTACGTTATCACTACACTTACAAGGAAACGGCCAGACATTAGGGTCTCCGAATCGAACGAAACTTGGCGAGCGTGTAACCCTTAACACAAACAGCTCATTGTCCAAATGTTAGGAAATGAAGATAGGGTAGCATGGTCACAGCGGTTTTTTTTAATTGTTAATGTTACGGACAATTTCCTCGTGCGCTCGTGTTTGTTACATGTTAAATATAACAATATCACCATATCTGAAAATTAATATGAAGAAATAGAAATTTTATTTAACGATATACAAAAGTTAAATGTACTGTACAAAGACTTCGTTTTCGCTAAACAGGAAAAGATGTCACAATTTTTAATCTCTTGTTTTATAAGCTTTAAACGTGAGGAATAACAATAGTAATAGTAATAATAATAATGCTAATGATACGGTAAAATAATTTTGTTACACATTTAAAAAAATAAAAAGAAAAGAAAACTATAAAATTGCAACGGCTCGAATCTACGTCGTATAGTTTTTGTACCTAGTCGACTATCGAAATTACGAGGAGAAATGAAACTTCCAAAGACTTATAAGCTACTGTTTCAGTAAATCTAAATCTATCATTTAGCTACTGTTTTGCCTAGGTCTGAGAAATTTGAGAGTCCATTGGAACACCTCTCTCTTGTTTATAAAAGGTTTGATCCCATAAAATATAAAAGTTTGATAAAATTATGTCTAAATAATCCGCTATACTCTTAAATTATTTAATATTTAAGCTTGCCTTGCGACAAAATTTACAGTAGAAGCATGAGATAAAAATCGAATACAATAATATAAATTAAAATTTGAAATTTTTTAATCAAGTACAAGATTTGTTTTTAATTGGGTTAACGAAAATTCAAAGTAGCTTCTGTTTTAGAATTATTTTTAAATCAAATTCGAAACGTATGAATGGGGTTACATCTAACAGAAAATATTTCTGATTTATTGTAAAATATGTTATTAAATAAAATTAGATATAAACGTAATTTTTTGTCTCTAGCACAGAAATATATAGTTATTTTAATGTAAGAGCAAAGTTGAAAGAATATTTATATACAGTTAATTTATCTATTAAAAGAGTTAGTTGCTATAGCTAAAGCTTAAAGAGATTAACATAAGGTCTATTCTTCAAAATGATAATAGGAATGTTTGATGATTAAGACAGACGTATGTCCCCGAGTGTCTTTCTCATGCGTACAAAAAATTAACTATTTTACGTGTTTTTAATAAATTTATAGATAGATATTCATAAATATTAAGAAAAATAAAAAACTTGGATGTGTTTAAAGGAGTTCAAAAATTATCCTATGTAAAGCATTAATTATGACCTCTCTCATATGAGCAACAGTAGACATTTCTTTCATCCCTTCGATGTTTACGTAATGATTGAATCCCTCCAAATTGAAATAATAATTAAGAAATGCCGTTGGCATAATTAAATTTAAGAAATATTTAAAAAAATTTAAATTTCTGTTTAGTTTCGAAAGTGGTTTCTTCTCTCTTATGAACAATTCTATTAATGTAGGCTATGCATGTTTAGTACATTATAATCAGTTTCATTTTTTTATAGTATGGAGTAATATTCTAAAATCTACAGTTCATAAGTAATGCTTGCTTACAGAAATTCACACACAATATAAACATACCGCTATTTCATCGTAAATTTATAAATATTACCTCAACTAATAATTTCCGAGTAGCAGCGTCGCGTGCTCTTAATCTTGCTGTGGGTTGATTATCGCAGATAGCATCATCATCTAATGAATATCCGTAAACAGTGATAGTTATATTACCCAGAATTTTCGGTTGAATCATAAAGCGATGAGTTTTACTAGTATCTCCACATACACAAGTTTTGTGAGTATTACTGCCAATAATTTTGAATTGATCTGTTGCTTCTAATGATAATTTAACCTTAAACGAAATAAAGTTTTTTAAATATTTACCATAAATATAACTAATATCACTATTAAATTCCACTAAATAAATTAATAAAATGAAATTGCTTACGGGTAGACAATCGGATAAATAATTAAAAATCGTTGTAACTATCGGTACTTTTTCTCCGCGGATTACGGAATAAGGAAGAATTATGGAGACGAAGAAAGGTTGAAAAGTTATTATAGATGTAGTGTCAGATATGCCCAGACCACGCTGCTTATTAATACATATGGCATTTCCCGTCCATTCTGTAATTGCATCCGGTAATTTATGGCTAAATATCACTTCTCCAATTTCTCTATAAACAAAATATAAATATGTATTTTAGTCATATAAAATGTTATATTTTACGCAAGTTTTCATAATTTATATGAAATGAAATATTCTTACCCAACTGGCTGAAGTTGCCACAACCATGTTTCCGGAAAATAACTTCTAATTATTGATGCAGATTTCGGTGTAGAACTTGGAGGAGAAGCAACAATGTTGTCAATAACCATTTCTAAAGGAATAGCCGAAGGAAGAGAATTTCCTGTTCCACTCTTTCTTAAAACTATAAAATATGACAAATATATAATTTATTGGAATTACATAAATATAATAATTAGGTATTAATATATTACCTACACGGAAAGAAAGTTCTATCATGGGGAGAATCTTCAAAGTGCATATATACACATGGTCTTGTCTCCAATGTTAAATCCGACAGGACTACCATTCTTGCATCCTATTGAAAAATGCTTTTTTATATACAGTGGTACCTCGGTATACGTCTGCTTTAGAATACGATTTAAGGGGTTAAATCAATTTCTAAACAGATATCGAAGATATTAGATCATGTTGAGAAATTGCTTTTGCTTTGAATAACTGAAAAATAGTGTGCTGGCGACAGCGTATCAGAAGCAATTATTTGCGAGAAAGCTAAAAAGATACATGCTGATCTCATGAAAAATGAGCAGGAACTAGCCAGGAAAGCGAGGTGTTTAAAGCCAGCATTTTTTTTTACATGAGAACGGATTAATCATTTTTACATTACTTCTTACGGGAAAGGTTTGTTTGGTATACGTCCTATTCGGTATAAGTCCAAACACCAGGAACGGATTGAGGTCGTATACCGAGGTTCCACTGTACAGTATTCTTCTTTTAAAATTCAAAAATTTCGCAGTTTACAAGTTTTATTTTAATTACCGGTATCAATTAATTTCACTTAGGGCCTACTTTTATACTGCTAAATTATTTGTATAATAATCGATCACCTTTCAGTTATTCACATTTACGGCATTTATGAACATGGGCGTATTATTTATGAATATGATATAAATTTATGGTGCAATCTCACCTCAAATGCAGTCATTGCATCTGCATAAGTTGATGAATATTTATAAGGAGTAAGCGATCTTTTTTTCCTACGTAGATCTTCGTCCAATGGTACATTTTGATTTATAGGTGTTGAAGGTTTCTTAATAACTAAATAACAAAAAAGGAAATTAATCTAATTAGCAATTTAAATCAATAATACGTAATTATTATACCTTACGTTTCTTTTTATCACAATATTCGTTATTTTCGTGTTGTGGAAGAAATTTTTCATGTGAATCAAACTTATTCAAATGTTTAAATACCTAAAATTCATACCGATATGAAGTTGTTTACATAGAGATAAGCACGTTATGTTTTATGTAATAATAATAATAACAACAATGGAACTTACATTTTCGACTGTCATTCTATTATCCGAGCTTATTAAGTTTATACTTTTATCAACGAATGTTATTCCACAAAACGAAAATGAACTCGCTTCCAGATGCAAGGTAGCTTCCGTCCCTGGATATTGTTGCCCTTGACGAAACTTTAACTTCACTTTATTATTAAGGCAACTGTGTAATTCAAAGTGTTGGGAATCGGCTACTGTTTCGCCATCAGGTCGTACGTAAAATATTAGAAGTCTAGAAGTTGGAGACATGAAAGATCTAGAGTCGAAATTCAACAAAAATTCGCCAACGTAAGATGTATTTGTCTCGTTAGATATCCAATTTCTCAATCTTGTGTTTTCATCAATGATATAAGTATCATCAATCTCTTGGCTTTTATCTTCTGCAGGATTGAAAGTCCTCCAATGAGAGCCTTGTTGAACTATTAATCCCCGAGCTATAATCTAAAAATGATAACATTAATTTTGTATACATTATTTTCTTACATATATTTTAAATGTCCTAATTATATTTACAAACCTGATGATAGAATTTTATTCTGGATTTATCAGTCGTGGTATATTTAATTTTAACGTGTTCGAGTTTTTCGCACGAAAATTTGACTTTCGAGGGTTGTATCTGTATAAAACTGTTGGAAGGAGAATACCAAGGAAGTAAAATCATAGTAGTGTGTGGTTGATAAATCTTCATGCCCCAAGTTTCATACGGTTCATCCCGATAATTAATTGCTTTCGCCTGAAAATAAATAGCTTTAGACGTTTGCGTAATTAATTGACAAAATAAATATCATCAATGAATTTACTTACTTCTAACATAACCTCAGAATTGTAAGAAAACGGTTGAGGAGGAATGCTAAAATGAATAAGTCCATTTTTATCTGATATAAAAGTCTTGCAAACACCTTTGCAACAAATTTGAATAGGTTCGTGAGAAACTGGAATGTCATTCGGAGTTGTAACTTTTACCTAAGAAGCAAGAAGATTTGTCATGAAATAAACCAAAATCAATTGAATAAATGTTGTAAACGTGAATTTTAAAATTCTTACAGTTCCATGGTAAGGAAGACCCGGTTTGTAATAATTCATTCCTAGTTTAGCTTCTAAAAACACAATTTCGAGTGGATTATGCGTAACTTCCGAGATGCTAGTAGCATTTTCTATGATATCTAATCATAGAAAATGTAAGAATTTAAGAATTATATCAAAATAAAGTTTAAAATACTATCAATTTACAATCAAAGATTCATAGTTAGTTCCTATGAATCTTTAATTGTAAATTGTAAATATTAAAATAATAAGTTTATCTTGAATTAGAAATTTGTANTTATTTAATATACTTTAAAATTTTAAACTAGGTTCTACATATAATTTAGGAATTTAAAGACATCAACAGAACCCAAGGACTGCTAACAGATCTAAATTAATATTAATAGTTACTTATATAAAGAATTAATCGCGTTAAAATAAGAAAACACCTAACACCGAATAGAAGGAAATTAAAATTTTAACTAGTAACTTACCTTTTTTCTGTGAGAACGACTTGAACCAAATTTAAAACAATCACTACTGACACACTAAGGTATATAACAAATGAGAAAAACTTCATGATGCGACCTTAGTCCAACTCTGAATTCGAAAGTGTTACCCGCATTTGGTGTGCAGTAGGTCAAAACAGATTAACAACAGTTAATCAAGAAGCACAAACTAGTAGATAGATTAGTTCGTTCTGGGAAAATGAACTCCGATCCCGTCAACAGAGACAGGATATTCAGGGGGACTTCCTGGATTGGGGATGTCTTGACCCAGCCATCTGGGAAATGTCTGATTGACAAATTGATCTTTAGTCTCGTGAGAAATAACAGGATATCAATGATTTGGTCTTTTACTCAATTTGTAGCTAATAAAAATTGAAAAAATCTGTGATGTAATTAATATTAAATAATAAACAGATCGCTTTTTTGACAGATTTAAAGAATGACGAAAATTCGAAAGGGTCAAAAATTAGTGTAAACAGAAAAGATCATTATCGTCTCTTGGAAGAGAGGTTAAATGAATAAACAATTCTACATAAGTTCAGATATGAGCAGTTTCAATTGAAAATGGAGATCAGTATCAGTTTCACCTCCTTTTGTTACAGTATTTATTTTAATTTTCGAGCAATTTCCAAGTATTTTAATAAACAACTTTCAATCTCGTTACTTAAAAAATAATAATACGATAAAAATAATTATAAATCAGTTTATATTTGTTTTGCATAATTTTCTATTAAATGAATGACCTGACTAATGTTTATAATACTTTATCGAAACAGATTTATGTTTTTAAATATTTACAAAAGGGTTAAATTAAATAACACGAATGTGATACCACTAGTGGATTGACACAGTAAGCTATCTCAATAGTTAAAATTAGTAATAATTTAGTGTAAACTATCAATATATGCAGGATACGAGTCCTAGATTTCTCATAGAACGGAGGAAATATACCGTTGATGATGTGTGCAAGAATAGTATGTAAAGTTTAAATTATCGAGAGATTTCTTATAATATTTTTATAAAATAATAAAAGAGATCGATGTTTTCTTGCTCTGTATATCTCTGCATTAATGGAATTTGTGTGTAATAAATTATCAGTTGATGCATCCATTTCGCAGTTTCCCTACTTTTAGCATCTTTTAAGTGAGTTGTAAATGCATTAATTTTAATATTCTGAACATTTTATTATCATTAATGTATTTTTTTATTCTCAAAAGTAATTATAAAATTATTGAAAGAGATATCTTATTTTTAAAATGTTATACATAAAATACAATGTAAAATAAAATCTTTAAAATTTATTCAATTTCAAGGTAAAATAAATCTAAATAAATTCCGAAAAGTTGTCATGATTAATTCAATTAAAGTACAGAGATTAAAAATTTGGAATTAATGAAGTTAAATGTTAAATATTATTTTATTATCTAATTAAATCTTAAAATTTCAATGATTAGCCTATATCTTTTCTATTATTGGAGAATGATTTATTTATAAAATAGCTATGATTTGAGACTAATGTATTCTTCAAAGTGTACGAATATTTTGAACCTCTTGTAATACTAGAATATTGCAATATTGTAGAGTAACTGTTGGTATAATTTGCTCACATTTATATAAATATTGCTGTATTTCGGTTACAGATATTTTCAACTTCTGATTTAAATCAAATATCCTGTTTGTATTGAAAACAGAAAGGCATAAAATATTTATATTAAATATATTTCTAACTTATTTAATATATATTTCATACATTTATGTTTTGTTTTCTTGTTCTTTTTTTATATTACTTTACATAATTATTTTTATATCAGAAATTAAATGTATTTTTGTTTTTAATTTCTGACATTTTTAAATGTACAGTATTTACAATTATCAGTTTTTTTTCTATTGATTCGAATAAATTATTTTTAAATCACTATATAAAAATCAATGTAGTTAAGTGATCTAAAGAATTGCTGCTGTCGGTGTTAAATCAAAATTCAAAGATGTTCTAAGTTTTAAACACCAATCAGAATAAAATATACATGATTTTGAACATTATAAAAAATTAAAATAATATTGATATATGAAACTGATGGTTCTCAGCTTGAAATAAATCATTTAATGTATTCATCATCATCATCATCTTTTTGCCTGTTCCATCATGCTTTTACTGGGTCAGGAGAACAAGTCTCCATTTCTTTCTATCATTCCACGGCTTCCTCTCTTCCTCTGACAAAACCTATCCCAGTCTTCTTCTCTTTCTATTACATCTTTCTTGATCTGATCTCTCCATCTCTTTCTTGCTCTTCAACAAAGTGTATAACCTAAAAACGGGTCTTCCCCGTGGTTCGGTTATACATTTTGATGAGGATTCGTTTATTCCTCATCCTTATCATAAGGTCAAACAAAGTAGTTTGGTCATCTGTTGAGGACGGGGAATGAACGAATCTAGCCACTGTTATTTATTCCTCTACACCAGGGGTCACCAAACTTTTTTCACAGCGGGCCAGGTAACAGAATGACAAGCGCAGGCCGCATAACCATTTTATTCAATACAGCACACTGAATACACAAAAAATAAAGACAACCAATATATTTATTTACACAAAACACGATCGCTGCAAAAAGCTCGTAATCGCTTTTCTTAGAAACTTCATTGTAGATACTTACACAAAAAGCGCTCTGATATCCAAAGTCGCAAAAAGTCGCCGAATTTTTTATTTAGCTGATTTTCCTAAAAATTATATTATTGTCAGATGTAAGAAAAGTAAGATTGGACCACTTCTGGCATTTATACTTACTATGTATAAAAAATTAAAATAAGTGTAAATTTATCTACAACTATGATATTTCCATATAAATAATTATATTTTACTTCATTTGTGGCACAGTTTGGGGACCCCTGCTCTACACGTTTCACTCCAAGTCTGCTCTCTTCACATTTTTCACTCTATCACTTTGCGTCTTTAACAATGTAATGGATGTTAAAAATTTCATTTCGATCGCCTATACTCACGTTCCTTTCCTTCATACTTAATATATTCATTTCCTTTATTTTCCTATAGCATACTAAATAATTAATCTAATTACTAACTTAGCATTAGTTTCCACATTTTGTTAATAACCATGGTATGTCTACAAAACAATTTTGGGGTCTTCTGATTTTCAAAAATCGAGTATGGGTGAAATGAACGTCCTCACTTTATATTTAACTTTTAAAAAATTATAACATTTTAAAAGAATATGTGCATTAATTGAGATTAATCCAGTTTCAGTAGAAAAAAAGTAGCAAAATGAAGTGTCTTTCAAATCACAACTTTCGATATTTGTCTCTGCTATCGTTTATATCGATGTGGCATATGCATCGATTTAAAGATTTAAATATCATCGGTTAACATTCTAACTTCCCGCTAGTGGCTCCGAGTTCAAAATAAGATCACAAAATGTAATTTAAAATTAGATATGTCTAACACCTTCATCGTAAAGTTTGGAAGGTGAGTGTGAAATGTTAGTCAGGAGAACAAATCTCCATTTCTTTCTATCATCCCACAGCTTTCTCTGACAAAACCGGGATAGGTTTTGTCAAAGGAAACTCCCTGACTCACTCAGAAACGCCCATGCTACAGTAATAACAAGATTTTCGTTGCCATTTTGTTTTCCTTGCGAATTCAGACAAAACATAACATCATTATCAATTTTGTTAATTAATAATTTATTATTTTTCTCTAATATAAAAATGTCGACAGCCGTTGCTAAAATGATCAAATTGCCAATCTTAATGAGAGCTTTCTTTATAAAGTATTCTTTTTCTAAAAATATGATTTTTTCTTAAATACGTTTTATTAAATTATAACTACTCTTATATATCAGGAAATACAGTAATTTTCCTTTTGACATATTTATTACATTGTATGTAACATCCCACTAATTCTAAAACTTTTCTAAAATTATTAATAATATAATTCTACATTTTTCTTAATTACGAAAGACAGCATCTTTTATTTTGCTTATATGAGCCGTTGATTTTGAAAGTGGGGCAAGTCCATTTTATGTTATTGCTAGATATTTAATGGTTTGCATTCGAATGAGTTTAAAAATATTCGTAAGCAGTAATTGACTTATTTTATATTTTTTTGATTTTATTTCGTGTAAATTTAATATGTAATAATGGTTATCCGCGTTAGGTGAAAAAAATCGTGGTTTTGGTATGCGCCAACGGACTTGCCTTACTTTCAAACGCAATGATTTGGTGAAAACGTTGCTTTTCTTTGAATGGAATATAGTTATAACAAAAAAATTAAATATTTTACTTATTTACTTATTTATTTTATTTCAACATTTCATACTTTTTTCGAAAAGCTACAATAAAACAAAAAATAAATTTANTGCCACTTTTAAATACAAATTAAGACTTAATGATTTTCTTAGATCAGATATCTAATTAAACGTTCAATTATAATAAACCGAAATTATGAAAATCTTTTTTTTTACTCTTTTTTAATCATTATAATTTAAATGTGCTGCGGAAATTTAATTATAGGTTCAAGTGTGCAGTGATATAAAAGAGGTTAGGCCTAATATTGATCATTTTTGCATGCACACTGATTAGAGAGATGTTCATTTCGAAATAAGACTACATATTAGTTTTCAGTCCTGTTAATCGATTAATTCTGGTATATAATTTACTAGAAAAATTATCAAGTTGATTTCTCGATTTAATTAATTTTATGAATAAAGGAATTCTTTCATAAACGTAATTATTGATTAATCTTTATTAGGCAATAGTTTTATGAGTAATTTCCGAAAATTTTCAGAAAATTATTTTCTTGTCTTGTAAAAATTCTCTGAGAATCTTTCAGTTTAATATTTATTCGATAATTGAGATGTGCTCGAAATCAAAATTAGGAATCTTCGTTGAAATTTCTTAAAATTTTTGGAAATCATCTTTAATAAAATGTTACACTATAATTTTTTTCCATCTTAGAAGACTAGGATTTATGAAGAAGAGATCGCAACATAATGGCGATCTTTCAAACGGGGTTGCCTCTTGGGAGGACTTTCTATGGGGAACTTCCCCACATTTAGGTGTTAGATACGTGAAGAAGACCCGAAAAACTCCATATTGGTGAGACGCGAACCCACGACCAGTGTTCAAGAGTTTTATCCATTTGGCATGGTTACACCTTTTATCTTCAGATAGAATACACAAAGAGCTATCGAAAGTCATGATGGAGGCTGCACGCAACTCAATACTATAATCAGCACTAATAAATAAAATAATGTTAATCTCATATCTCTAAAAACTAATTTATTTTCAATAAAAATTAAATACGACTATTTCGAATTTTATAGAATTGTTCAACATAAGAGAGATAAATTTATAAAGGTATAACAATTACTAATTAACTACATACTCACTGGTTCTTCAATTTCAATAAAAGGTAACTCCCTGCTGTATTTGCTACTCTTCTCCCATTCATATTTCTTATATGTAATATGAACAGTTAAAATTCCATCTACTCTCTTTCCGTAGGTATATCTAATTAGTATTTCATTAAATTTTATGCAAAAAATATTCTTTAAATATTTCAAAATGTTTATTAATTCGATTTATATATTTATGCATTAAGTAGTAATTACCTTGCACATATCTTCCAAAATATTGTAGATGCATTAGCCAATATAAATGGAGGTGGTATAATAGTTACTTCAAATCTTGGCAGTACTAAATAAAAAAGAAATGAGTAAAAAATTTTATTGATTAAAAATATAATATGTAAATAAATAATAATAGTCTAATAATTGTTTTTTTCCCCTCTTTCACAAAATAGATTCAGGATATGCAAATTAAACTAACCATATTTATCCACTTTAAATGATTGTTGTCCAGATTTTCCTGAAATTTCTGAGTGGATCAACCAATCTCCTAATAAAGGTTCTCCAGAAAGAGGAAGTTCCAATTGAACTAAACCTGATTATCATAAATTAAAATAAATTATAAAATGAAATAAGATCATGTTTTTCTAACTGGAATATATTTAATAAAACTATAAAATTTGCATAATGAATAAGAAAAACATTGCTTAATTTTAGTTTTTTTCTTGTAAAATTTTATCTTATACATTTTTACCATTGGTAAAAGATACATTCTTCCATTGAGCAACACGTATACCAGTAGGATTTTCAATCCAGATATCTCCTATCTTTAAATGATGAACAATATTTTAATATTAAATAAATTATGCAACAGTGTTTACACATAAATTAATATATTTTAAAACAAAAAATGACTTACCGACTTACTGTCTATTGGTTTTAAAAATACATCTACAGGAAATACTCGGAATCTAACTAAATGAAATGAAAATTTTAAAATAAAATTTAAAACTATGTTAAGATAAAAAAATTGATATAATTTCATTTTTTTTATTAAAAGTAATTTTAAAAATTATATATAATGTGGGTATATAAGTAGAGTAACCAAAAGGCCTTTCATTACATATTTCATTGGAAATAGATTCATCAGTGACGTCTGACAATATGAAACTTTCGAAACAACACATTCGGTGCTGTTGCTCTATCACTTCAAAGGTGGCCACAACGCAACGAAGGCTGACGATCTTTGTTTGCCTTCGTTTGTTAAAACTTTCATAGGTGAACAAAGGTCAGCCAGCTGTTGCAAATGTCAAAGGAACGATAGTGCTGAAGAAGGTGATGATCTGTATTTGTTTGGCATCATTGTAATGGAGCTGCATTCCAACCGATATCACTCACGAAAGAACTGTACTACGAACAACTGGATCATTTGAACGCTTCGTCCAAAAATTGACAAATTCTGATACCGCCACGACAGTGCGCCAACACGTAAAACCAATGACGGCCAGTCTGGGCTGGAAGGTTGTGCTTCATGCACCTTACATAACTAAGATTCGATCCCGGCCCTTATTTCTAATCCCGGGATTTCGGGATTATACTTAATCAATCTGGGATCCCGGGATTATTTCGATATTGAGGGTTAATAAAAAAAAATAAGAAAAAATAAGAAAATCTTATAGAAATCAGCTCTTTAATCAACAAATCAAAATTTAGACAAAAATCAACGTATTTTGCGGTATACATCTAGCTAATCTAACCACTCTAACTAATCAGACTTAATACTACGTTCACACAGGCAGTCCGCTCGAGAAGAACCTGGCTATAACACGCGATCATAAAACTGACTTCGCTGAAGTAACTACGCGGTAAGTCACAAACACCAACAAACAAAATGGAAGTTTTGGTTAGAAATAAATACTTTTTCTTGTTATACATATAATAATAGACAGATGTCGTCGTCTCTCCAGTTGTCTTTTTTATTTTTCTGTCGATAGCCCGACACGTGTTCCGCAGCCAACCTGTATTTTCTCGCGCGCGTGGGATTGTGGGATCTCTTTTATGACTGGATCTAGTTTCGAGAACTCTCTCCAGTCGATCGCTATTGAACCTCGTTTCAGTCGATATTGAAACGGTCGAGAGCGCTCGCACTACGGAACAGTCTCCACATCTTAGTCACAATCTAGATCGAAATGCTCGGTGCGAACGGGGTATTAGAGTCAGACTAACTAGACTTAAAATCACTCAGTCTTCATGTTAAAGTTATTCTTTTTCAAGCATTACCTAGATCTCTTTAAATTTACATAAATTGAAAAAACCTTTATGTAACAAACTACGCAAATAAACGTTGAAAATTAACAAAAATCTCTCTTAACATCGACTAAATAGACGACTTTTATGTAACAACCTATTAAGTAGGTAGTAAAGTAAATTTCTTAGCAAAAAGTATTTTAAAATAATATTAATCAGTCACATTTTTCTTAAATATAAAGAAAACTAATCTAATAGGAACATTCTAATTTGAATTGCGAAAATATGATCTGAGAAATAACAACGCATCCAGTGTCTCATCACCAAGTCTGCTTCTCAATTTGTTACACATATATGCAGCTGCTGTGAAAGCGCGTTCAGGGTCGACGGAACTTGGAAGAATCGTTAGTAAATACTTATAAGTCCGCTCTAGGTTATAGCTCCGAGTAGAATTTGAAGACTCATACAGGTTCATTTCTTTCTTAATAATTTTGGAAAAATCATTTTCATTTAATGCTTCAGGATACATCATTTTCATGCTGTTTTCTATTTCCAGCTGAAGCGTTTCTTTCAGCGTCAAATCACTTTTTTCTGTATTTGTAGGCTTGACTTGCATATTTCGTTTATCCTCTTCATCATTTTTTTACCATTTAATCTCTCAATTAATGAAACAATCTGGTTTTTATCAGGACTTTGCTCGGACTTGAAAAAGTACGCTTTATTTCATCATCATCAGCCAAATTGTCACTATGTGGATTTTGTAGGTAGCGTAAAACTCCACAAGAAGTTTTATTCCAAGCAAGCATCGCAAGCCCTCTAGGATAGTTTGTGCTGCTTGCTTGGAATAAAACTTCTTGTATTTTATATTAAAACGATAGGCAAGCAATTCTGTTAAGAGCACTGGCACTGAACGTTTCGCTTCATTCAGTCTATTTTGCAATGTTTTTAAGATGATGTCAATCCCGAAAATCTCGGGATCAGGAAAACTTAATTAATCCCGAAAATTTCGGGACTGAAAAGTAGTCGGGATCCCTTTTCCCAGATCCCGGGATCAAATCCTCTACTTACAGCTCAGACTATGCGCCAACTGACTACCATCTGTTTCGCACATTGCAGAACCATATTGCTAATATACAGTTTAATGATAATACTCGACGCTCGAGACTTTTTCAGAGAAACCCCAGTATTCTATGCTCACCGGTTTGGAAGTTTGCAGCAAAAATGGCGAGATATGATTGATACTGATGGTGATTATCTACAGGCTGAACTGCAATCGTTGTTGAGTTAATTGTCATAAAAATTATTATATTTTTTTTCAAAACGTCTAAATTTTACCCTTATAACTTGATGGAAAGGTTTTAATTTTCATAAAAACTTTGTTATAAATTACGTAAAAACTAAAAGTTATGAATTATTATTAGAAATGTTTCGACGAGAATTATTACTTATGCGTATCTACAAATATGTCCACAGAATTTTCTCGCTAGAAAAAATTTATAAAGACGTAATATAAAATCGATAGTGAACTTTGATATTTTCAGGATCAAAATAACAATTATTTGATATTTACAAAACAATTTCTAAATTTAATAAATTTGAATACAACACTTGATGACGCCAGTAATTCCTATAACATGGAATGAAACAAGTTGAATTTTCTTTTCATTCTGTATTTTGTGAAATATTTTAATACGCGGTATTCAAATTTTTAAATATTATAAGACAAATGAATCGTTGAAATTCACATATCGCAATATGGCACAACACGCAGCTTAGGTAATTCATAAAACATTTTGCTTTGCTTCTGCACTAATCTTGATTTTGTTGAAAAATTCTTATCGTAGGGTGTATTTAGTTATTAAATAGTATTTTAAATAATTATATAATATATTCTATCGCTATTTATCGTGTTTCATCACACAAAACTCATTATATAATGATATAATTTAATTGTATAATCGATAGTGTTATGTCAAAAATGTTTTTCAATTAAGTTTTCTTCGTAAGTATTAATTAAATTCCATTTTTATATTAAAAAATATGAAAATTCATCATAATTTCATATTAAATACCTTTTCAAAAATATTTCTTTACAAATATCTTTTTAGAATCTATATATAGTGAGAAAATTCGATGTACATATTGACATGACCATCCCTGTCATTATAATTTTATATACGCTTTACATATGTCATTTAAAAATTTTTGTCAATGAAATATATGTATAAAATTTCAATAGCTATAAATTATGTTTTATATCGNCAGGAGTATTTAGGCACAGAGCTTTAGATAAAGTTTAACACGGGAAGATTGCTGTATCGACAAATACGTTCCAAATGGATTTTCTCTTGTCAAAATAGAAATATTTTAATACGTAATGGGTTGAAAGAATATTCTCAAAATTAAATAAATAATAAAATAATTAAATGAAATTATTATAATGGGTGGTTACGAATTCATTTTAAATGAATTAGTTTTGGGATAAAAATATAACGCTAGTTTACAAACATTTAATCAAATTATTTCTTACCTGTTTGTCCAGGTTTGTATATAGGTTTATCAGTCTGTATAAATGTTATTAAAGAATTTGGAGTAAGATAAACTTCTTTTACAGAATTAATTTGATAGCCATCAGCTAAGTTGAATACACCCTTAACATGCAACCTGGCTTTAGTATCAGATACCAATGGAATTGCTAGTTCTACCCAAGTACTGTGTGCTATTTAGAAAAGAAGCAAAGATAGATATTATTCAATGCTAAAGTATAAGTAAACATTTAATGAAATTTTCTTACAAGATTGAGCATATACTTTTGCTTCGGATAAAACATCATCCGATTCTGCTTTGAGTAACCTTATAGTTATGAGGCCTCCATCTGGGATTTGAAATAGAGTCAAGGTCAAATGTTCTAGAGTTCCAGTTTTTAGCGCTTTCGGTGATGTCAAAATGAAACCTCTAATGAAGAAAAACACACGTATATATGTATAATCACTGAAAAATGTAGGTATTCATATTATTGAATCTATAGCCTTAAACTAACATCGATTGACGATGTTAGTTTAAGGCTATAGATTCAATAATAGTTGATAGTTTTATTATATACTTTCTATAATAGAAATAACTTTAAAGTGTTTATTTCTTTTTCAGAATATTCTTATATTTTTTTTAAATTTTGATACAGATAAAATTGTTCTTGTAGTATGATACTTTTCTTATCATACTACAAGAACAATTATAATTAATAAAAGATAGAATGTTTTGTTTTTGAATCTGTCAAAAAAGTTGTCGGTATGGCTATTTTTCTTCTGTGTGACATTAACGATTGACATTTTATATAATTTTTGTGTATAACAACGTTTTAAAATATATTAGCAGTAAAATATTGCATTCGAAGATGTATATGAAGTTTTATACTGTACGTAAATTACGATATTTTAAATTTTCAGAAGAAGGATATTAAAATATTTTTATGAGATTATTACAATTATTAAACGTCTGAAGTCCAATTATTTTTATTTTTTAAATCAGAAATTTCCCTTTTTTTTAACTAGTTAGATTTATCCTTTGTCTTTTTATGCATTTATATAGTTTATTTAAAATAAATAAACTATATAAATATAGCATTCAGACTATAATCTGTAGCATTATATAAATTAAAGTGCAGCTTCGACAGACTTCAATATAATAATTAAAATTTGTTTGTTTTATTAAATTATTTTACATATTAATATGATATCCACGTTATAATTTAAATAATCAGATAATATTTAAATAAATAAATATTAATGCATTAATGTTTTTTGCTTTATACGTGATTACATTATAGATAAATACGTTTTAATCACAAACATTTCTTTTATTTTTAAGTTTATTCCAGTCTGAAATACGTTTACATTAACATTTACTAATTTACTTCATCATATAATTTGAAGATTTTAATATTTATGTAATAAAATAAATATTTAAATGCAATTGATAAATTCTGCTTTTTCAAAATGTATTTTTCTTATTTTAAGAAGAAATTTGCGTTTTTCTCTCTTACATAGAAAGTAATAAATTAAAATAAATATAGTTTTGAAAGAAAGTATTTTATTTAATATACTTTAAAATTTTAAACTAGGTTCTACATATAATTTAGGAATTTAAAGACATCAACAGAACCCAAGGACTGCTAACAGATCTAAATTAATATTAATAGTTACTTATATAAAGAATTAATCGCGTTAAAATAAGAAAACACCTAACACCGAATAGAAGGAAATTAAAATTTTAACTAGTAACTTACCTTTTTTCTGTGAGAACGACTTGAACCAAATTTAAAACAATCACTACTGACACACTAAGGTATATAACAAATGAGAAAAACTTCATGATGCGACCTTAGTCCAACTCTGAATTCGAAAGTGTTACCCGCATTTGGTGTGCAGTAGGTCAAAACAGATTAACAACAGTTAATCAAGAAGCACAAACTAGTAGATAGATTAGTTCGTTCTGGGAAAATGAACTCCGATCCCGTCAACAGAGACAGGATATTCAGGGGGACTTCCTGGATTGGGGATGTCTTGACCCAGCCATCTGGGAAATGTCTGATTGACAAATTGATCTTTAGTCTCGTGAGAAATAACAGGATATCAATGATTTGGTCTTTTACTCAATTTGTAGCTAATAAAAATTGAAAAAATCTGTGATGTAATTAATATTAAATAATAAACAGATCGCTTTTTTGACAGATTTAAAGAATGACGAAAATTCGAAAGGGTCAAAAATTAGTGTAAACAGAAAAGATCATTATCGTCTCTTGGAAGAGAGGTTAAATGAATAAACAATTCTACATAAGTTCAGATATGAGCAGTTTCAATTGAAAATGGAGATCAGTATCAGTTTCACCTCCTTTTGTTACAGTATTTATTTTAATTTTCGAGCAATTTCCAAGTATTTTAATAAACAACTTTCAATCTCGTTACTTAAAAAATAATAATACGATAAAAATAATTATAAATCAGTTTATATTTGTTTTGCATAATTTTCTATTAAATGAATGACCTGACTAATGTTTATAATACTTTATCGAAACAGATTTATGTTTTTAAATATTTATAAAAGGGTTAAATTAAATAACACGAATGTGATACCACTAGTGGATTGACACAGTAAGCTATCTCAATAGTTAAAATTAGTAATAATTTAGTGTAAACTATCAATATATGCAGGATACGAGTCCTAGATTTCTCATAGAACGGAGGAAATATACCGTTGATGATGTGTGCAAGAATAGTATGTAAAGTTTAAATTATCGAGAGATTTCTTATAATATTTTTATAAAATAATAAAAGAGATCGATGTTTTCTTGCTCTGTATATCTCTGCATTAATGGAATTTGTGTGTAATAAATTATCAGTTGATGCATCCATTTCGCAGTTTCCCTACTTTTAGCATCTTTTAAGTGAGTTGTAAATGCATTAATTTTAATATTCTGAACATTTTATTATCATTAATGTATTTTTTTATTCTCAAAAGTAATTATAAAATTATTGAAAGAGATATCTTATTTTTAAAATGTTATACATAAAATACAATGTAAAATAAAATCTTTAAAATTTATTCAATTTCAAGGTAAAATAAATCTAAATAAATTCCGAAAAGTTGTCATGATTAATTCAATTAAAGTACAGAGATTAAAAATTTGGAATTAATGAAGTTAAATGTTAAATATTATTTTATTATCTAATTAAATCTTAAAATTTCAATGATTAGCCTATATCTTTTCTATTATTGGAGAATGATTTATTTATAAAATAGCTATGATTTGAGACTAATGTATTCTTCAAAGTGTACGAATATTTTGAACCTCTTGTAATACTAGAATATTGCAATATTGTAGAGTAACTGTTGGTATAATTTGCTCACATTTATATAAATATTGCTGTATTTCGGTTACAGATATTTTCAACTTCTGATTTAAATCAAATATCCTGTTTGTATTGAAAACAGAAAGGCATAAAATATTTATATTAAATATATTTCTAACTTATTTAATATATATTTCATACATTTATGTTTTGTTTTCTTGTTCTTTTTTTATATTACTTTACATAATTATTTTTATATCAGAAATTAAATGTATTTTTGTTTTTAATTTCTGACATTTTTAAATGTACAGTATTTACAATTATCAGTTTTTTTTTCTATTGATTCGAATAAATTATTTTTAAATCACTATATAAAAATCAATGTAGTTAAGTGATCTAAAGAATTGCTGCTGTCGGTGTTAAATCAAAATTCAAAGATGTTCTAAGTTTTAAACACCAATCAGAATAAAATATACATGATTTTGAACATTATAAAAAATTAAAATAATATTGATATATGAAACTGATGGTTCTCAGCTTGAAATAAATCATTTAATGTATTCATCATCATCATCATCTTTTTGCCTGTTCCATCATGCTTTTACTGGGTCAGGAGAACAAGTCTCCATTTCTTTCTATCATTCCACGGCTTCCTCTGACAAAACCTATCCCAGTCTTCTTCTCTTTCTATTACATCTTTCTTGATCTGATCTCTCCATCTCTTTCTTGCTCTTCAACAAAGTGTATAACCTAAAAACGGGTCTTCCCCGTGGTTCGGTTATACATTTTGATGAGGATTCGTTTATTCCTCATCCTTATCATAAGGTCAAACAAAGTAGTTTGGTCATCTGTTGAGGACGGGGAATGAACGAATCTAGCCACTGTTATTTATTCCTCTACACCAGGGGTCACCAAACTTTTTTCACAGCGGGCCAGGTAACAGAATGACAAGCGCAGGCCGCATAACCATTTTATTCAATACAGCACACTGAATACACAAAAAATAAAGACAACCAATATATTTATTTACACAAAACACGATCGCTGCAAAAAGCTCGTAATCGCTTTTCTTAGAAACTTCATTGTAGATACTTACACAAAAAGCGCTCTGATATCCAAAGTCGCAAAAAGTCGCCGAATTTTTTATTTAGCTGATTTTCCTAAAAATTATATTATTGTCAGATGTAAGAAAAGTAAGATTGGACCACTTCTGGCATTTATACTTACTATGTATAAAAAATTAAAATAAGTGTAAATTTATCTACAACTATGATATTTCCATATAAATAATTATATTTTACTTCATTTGTGGCACAGTTTGGGGACCCCTGCTCTACACGTTTCACTCCAAGTCTGCTCTCTTCACATTTTTCACTCTATCACTTTGCGTCTTTAACAATGTAATGGATGTTAAAAATTTCATTTCGATCGCCTATACTCACGTTCCTTTCCTTCATACTTAATATATTCATTTCCTTTATTTTCCTATAGCATACTAAATAATTAATCTAATTACTAACTTAGCATTAGTTTCCACATTTTGTTAATAACCATGGTATGTCTACAAAACAATTTTGGGGTCTTCTGATTTTCAAAAATCGAGTATGGGTGAAATGAACGTCCTCACTTTATATTTAACTTTTAAAAAATTATAACATTTTAAAAGAATATGTGCATTAATTGAGATTAATCCAGTTTCAGTAGAAAAAAAGTAGCAAAATGAAGTGTCTTTCAAATCACAACTTTCGATATTTGTCTCTGCTATCGTTTATATCGATGTGGCATATGCATCGATTTAAAGATTTAAATATCATCGGTTAACATTCTAACTTCCCGCTAGTGGCTCCGAGTTCAAAATAAGATCACAAAATGTAATTTAAAATTAGATATGTCTAACACCTTCATCGTAAAGTTTGGAAGGTGAGTGTGAAATGTTAGTCAGGAGAACAAATCTCCATTTCTTTCTATCATCCCACAGCTTTCTCTGACAAAACCGGGATAGGTTTTGTCAAAGGAAACTCCCTGACTCACTCAGAAACGCCCATGCTACAGTAATAACAAGATTTTCGTTGCCATTTTGTTTTCCTTGCGAATTCAGACAAAACATAACATCATTATCAATTTTGTTAATTAATAATTTATTATTTTTCTCTAATATAAAAATGTCGACAGCCGTTGCTAAAATGATCAAATTGCCAATCTTAATGAGAGCTTTCTTTATAAAGTATTCTTTTTCTAAAAATATGATTTTTTCTTAAATACGTTTTATTAAATTATAACTACTCTTATATATCAGGAAATACAGTAATTTTCCTTTTGACATATTTATTACATTGTATGTAACATCCCACTAATTCTAAAACTTTTCTAAAATTATTAATAATATAATTCTACATTTTTCTTAATTACGAAAGACAGCATCTTTTATTTTGCTTATATGAGCCGTTGATTTTGAAAGTGGGGCAAGTCCATTTTATGTTATTGCTAGATATTTAATGGTTTGCATTCGAATGAGTTTAAAAATATTCGTAAGCAGTAATTGACTTATTTTATATTTTTTTGATTTTATTTCGTGTAAATTTAATATGTAATAATGGTTATCCGCGTTAGGTGAAAAAAATCGTGGTTTTGGTATGCGCCAACGGACTTGCCTTACTTTCAAACGCAATGATTTGGTGAAAACGTTGCTTTTCTTTGAATGGAATATAGTTATAACAAAAAAATTAAATATTTTACTTATTTACTTATTTATTTTATTTCAACATTTCATACTTTTTTCGAAAAGCTACAATAAAACAAAAAATAAATTTAATTTTATAGAAAAAAAAGTGAAGAAAATAATAAAAAATATTTAGTAATAAGATGCATGAATATACAGTAGAGCGTCGATTATCCGAATCAATTGGGGACTGGGGTTGTTCGGAAGATCGATGTTTCGGATAACCGATCATGTACGAAAAAATATATTAATTTATCCCATCTTGACATTTTTCTCCGTTGCGTGTCGCTTCGCGTTGAATTTTCGTCGATGTTAAGCCTAACGAAGACTATTGTATCGTTAAAAATTATTTTTTTATTTTGTACGAACAAAATAAATATATTGAAAAATATAAAAACAATAAAAAATAATACTTCAGAAGTTAATTTAGTATCGAAAACGTAAAATATTTGAGTAGCCCAAGACATAGCCAAAGATTGCAGCGCCACAGCACTGGCGAAAATTTAAATTTGCCGACTGGAATTCTTTCGGATAATCGACGCTGTACTGTAATTATATTTCTTAGTTTAGATGGTGCATATTTTTAAAGTATTCGTGATAAATTGGTCATACATAGTGTAATAAATCCATCAAATCTCCATATTTTTATTTACAGTGGACTTGCCTTACTTTCAAAATCAACTCATTGTAAATATCGTTGACGATATAAATTACTAGTAACAAATTTATACTGTTATTAAAAGATATTTATTAAAAACCTACATTTTATGTTAATTTGTAATAAAAATTACCTTTAACTAGTTTTTCACAAAATGAACTTGCTCCACTTTCAAAATCAACGGCTCATATATTGAGTTTTTTAAAATATGCTCGTGGACAGAGGTGTACTGGGGAGAGGAAGAAGGGGAGGGAATTTACCTTTCCGTAAGCTATTGATAAAAGTTTTTAGATCTATATTATATATATGTATAAATGAAGATGTTTGTTTGCTCGCTACACACTCCTAGGCCATTCGACCAATTATTACGAAACTTGGCATTTACGTTAATAAACTCCTAACTTAGATAATGCCGTAA